CCTCCCCCCAATGTCTTTTCTTCTCCCTTTTCACCTCATTGCTCCTACTTTCTAACCTAAGTCCCAGTTCCTTTCATACCCCTCTGTGCCTCAATTATCTGTTTCTCTACGTTTGCCTATCTTCCCGGTGAAATGCTCAAGCACTGGAACCTGCTCTTCCATCTCTATTATTAGTTAGCTTACCAGCTACCCCATTAGCCCTACTAACTCGTGTTGTTTAATTGATTGGTAGTGCAAAGTGCAAGATTTGTGTCATTGACCTGACGTTATTTGTCTTATGGGTTGTAGCTCGGAGAATGGAATCAAAGCCTAGGAAGTAGACGAAAGTGTTGCTCTAACTACTACATCCTCCTCATTCCCATCCTCCTCCTCCATCACCACCTACTTCACCACCATCTACGAGTGTTCTCCAATCCGAACCGAAATTACCAATTTTGCGCCTCAAACTCAATTTTACTTCTAGTACTCCTACACCTCGATCTTTCTCTTAAACTCGTTATTTCTTATTCCCTAACAAACAACTCATTCCTTACCCGAAAGCCGGTTTCTTCTTAGGGAAAAAAATGTAAAATATAAATTGTCCAGAGCCGATATTTATTACTTCTTTGAAAAAGAACGAGAGAGAGAGAGAGAGTGAATGAAATCTCAGCGTCTCACCTCCTCTTATCCCTCTCTGTTGTGTAGCCATGGCAACCGACTGCTATCTTTAATTGGCCGGCTAAATTCTCTTGAATTGTCCACCCATTCAAACTATGACATTATAGCTCTCATCTCGCCTCCTTTGTTTCCCTCCTCCCCCCTTGAAGTAAATCCTGCCCTTACTTGTTTTTTTTTTACTAAAATTTGTAGAAACGATTTGTTTAATGACTGTATCTGTTTGAAAATTGGCCTAAAATGGAAACAAAAACACAAAATTCATTCTAAATTGACTTTATTAGAGTAACGGAGGGAGTTTACTTTACAATTAGATTATGTTTTGCATTAAAAAGCAGCTTTTGTGGTAGATGTACTGTTATTGTATTTCAGTTTTTAACTAAATGCAATCACAACTTCAGATGATTATTGCTCAATTGGAAGTGAAGAGCAAAATCACTGAATTAAGGGCAGCTTGTGAGTATCTCTGCTTTGTCTATAAAAGGAAGGTTTCAAGTGCTTTGCGATGGCGAAGAAATTAGGTAGTTCTTGAAGAGTATGAAGTTTTAGTTCCAATGCGTTCCTCTCTGTCCTTACCATCTTCAGGTTAAGTGAAAAGTGTATTTCCAATCAAGAATGGTGTCTAGGGCTTTTGCGGATAACTGGGTAGAATTGCATGATCAGAGATCTGAATTCTACTGCGATTCTGTTTCGAGAGAATGTGAGTTACTTTTAATTTGTTAATTTTACAACTTTGAAATTTGCTAAAATGTTTGAACCTACTAAGGCTCACTAAGGCCAATTCCCCTCATATGGAACTGTGTTTTTTAGGCTTATTGTTGAAAGAAATGTTTTGATGATCGATTGACATTGGCTATTTCATATTGTTATATATGCAGACTTGTTATTACCACTTTTCTACAAGACAACACACACAAAGTACTCTAAATTGAGAATAATACGATGACCAAAATATTGATTTTGTGCTTAAAAGTTAAAATTGCTATGTGCTATATTTAAAACCTGCTGACCTGTTAAGAATAAATTATGTGATTGAGCATGTCACATAGCTTTACTCAAGGCAAATTCCAATCTTGAAACGTTAAATCAACGAAAACTGCCAGGGTGATATTTGAAGTAACTTGGTTCTTAAACTTTCCGCCTTAGTTTAACATTTTGCACTGAAATTAAAAGCTAAAGATGGGAATAATCATACGAGAGAGCGTTTTAAAAATTAAATTTCCAAGATTTAAATACTTCGTTTTGAGATGGATTCGTCTAGAAGCTTCAAAGCTTATTGATCGGTTGAGTTGATTGTGTGATTTACCCTGGCACTTCGGTTCGCTTGTATCCTTCCTCAACCTAAGTAGCGAAGCGATGTAATGACACCAGGGTTAATTGGAATTTGATCTTTTTATTTGAGGAGTTTAACGGTTGAAATTCTAGATTCTGAACTGACTTTTATTTGGTCTAATTTCAGAGTTGGAGCATCATGGGAATGTAAATATAAATTTATTTCCCAAGAGCCATAAAACTATGTAATTGTAAAAATTATTCGTTTTTCTTTTACATACTTTCGAGTGATTCTAATAAGCTTATTTTTTTTTCATTGTCTAGTTCAAATTGTACTTCTATCGCAAAAATAACATATTTTTCACTCTCTAAAAAATTGGGATCTCTTTTATCAAATTGGAAGTTTTGTGCCAAATCATATTTCTTTTTAAGGAAAAATCGGTTTGGAAGGAGTAAAATGAATAATTTTTTGAATCTGATTCTTTAACCCATTCGAACAGACTCAGTAAATCTCGTTATTTATTGAATTTTTTTATTTAATCAAATATTTATATAAAATGGCAGGCGTTTTGAAAATTATCATCAGCCCTTTAGCTGACTTCGGGCTTCACAGAGGAGAGGAACAGCAAAGTCAAATAAAGTCGAGAGGGGGAACGGAAGAGTTATTCACAGATGGAAGAGAGACAGATAGACACAAAGGCAGAGAAAAGGTAAGATGAGTATCGTGAAGTGGTAGAATATGACCGAGTCAGGTCATGGTAGTTTGAAGTCAGAAGTCAGTTGCCGGTTTATAGACTTTTGTCGGGTGAGTATGCGTTGCCCAGAGTGCACCACTTGGAGGTAAGTCTATTACACACCCTCTTTAATCAAATATCATTAAGTTCTAAATTTATTTTAATATGTTTGAGGGCACAATTACACCTTTTTCTTCAAACTAAAAAGTATTTCTTCATTCTCCTGCTGATAATCCTTATAAAACAGCTTTCATGAGTTCACTGGAGAAAACACGGTAAAAATAAATATGCAAAAAGGTAAAGTGCCATTTTCAGTCCTTGTTCAAAAACTTATCTCCAGGTGACCTTGACGATCGTAGTATCGATTTTTTATCTCATTATTATTTAACCCATCTTTATCTTTCAAACGTAAACGCATT